CGTGCCGGCGCGGAAGGAAAGCTGCTACGGCACGGCCCGGCCCGGCCCCAGGCAGCCTACGCCACCCGCTGCTCCTGAGCGAAAAGAGAGTCGCGGAGGAGGACGACTGCAGCAAGCGGGTTAAAGGTTTGGTTTCTCGGGCAAACCCAGCCAAGCAGCCTGTAAGGTGCCTGATGCCAACGGCAAGGAGCTGGGAGCCCTGGTTTCTACGATGCGTTTGGCAATGCAGTGCCCTCCCAGGGCCAGACCCTGTCTTTGGGAGGATTTTAACCACGAGATGGAGAGATTTGGTAGAAACCAGAGCTCAGGCATAAAACACTGCAAGTCACACAGGAGCAAGTCTTTGGGGATATAAATTGCACTCTGAGAGATCTCAGTAAGAGCTTAGGAGAGGTAGGAGAGAAGGGGCTCTTGCACCTCCTATTCCTGCAGTTCATGTTTGTGGTCTTCCCTTCTGCTCTTCTCCCTTATGGCCTTTAAACACATACAAATTTCAGCTTCAGGCTGTAGCAAAGGGAACCTACCACCTTCCAGTACATCAGACAGAGGCGCTTGGCCAAACCAAAGGTCCAGCCAGGCAAGCGTGGATGGGAGCAGGGCTATGCTCCCTCCAGCCACGAGCGACTCCCTGAGCCGGCAGCTGTGACCGACCCTTGCAGCATCCCCCATGGAGTTCTTCCATGCAATCAGTACATTTATCTGCTCTTTGACAAACATTTTTTTTTCCCCATCTCTCAATCTTTACACAAAGAGGAGAAGGAAATTATTTACCGGACAAGAGAAGATAGAAAACCTTCGGAAACTGCTTTGAGAACCTTTCGTGACAGGCTCCATGTGAACATCTGCAGCATTTAACTCCCAGGGAAGCAGGGTTAGCATAAAACCTGGCAAGAGAGCTATATAGTGTTGCAAAAGAGGGCACAGAGCAATTTTGTAAGCCAAGCAGCAGGGAAAGGCAGAGGTGTTTACTTGGCTGATCCTGTGCCGAGGCTCTGAGCACCCCCAACTTCTCAGCTTGCACAAAACAGCTCAGCACTGCACCCTACGAGCTCCTCCACCAACACGCTCATTGTTGCATGACGCGTTAGCCAGGGTGTCATTGTGCCACAGGAGCCTGTACTAATTATAGTGTCAGCCTTTCCACTTACAGGGAGGATAATTAAGGTAGAACATTACAGTGTTTCCAAACCCCGGGCTCTAGGAAGAGACCTCACTAGATTAGAGGAGCGGTGCTATGGAGAGACTGATGGTGCAAGAACAGCACTTTGCTGAGAAAGCAAAAGGACTTCAGCGAAAACTGAACAGCGTCCAGTAGGATCACCACGGGACCAGGCCAGCACCAGCATCACCCCTTCCTCATGCAAAAAACCGTGGGACTAGAGACCCTGGTAATGAACAGGGCAGGGCTCCACCAACCAGCACGGGCGAGCCACAAGCCCCCAGTTCAATCCAATCCAAATCCTTTATAAGCTGCAAATCAGAGCTGGCAGTCTGCAGCCTGGCTCTGGCGAGGACGATGGCAGGCTCGGGTTCAATCCAACCTCTGAAACCCCTGAAAGACTCCAGGCAAATCCCTGCTGGATTAATGATGTTTGCACAGGGCTTTGCTATCAGCGAGCAGACCTGCCTAAGCACAAACAGCTGCTGTTATTCACCCAGCCCCACAAAAGGGCCGCAAGGCCGGCACTTCCCAGAGAGTCAGGCCAGGCAGAAAAGAGCAGGAGATGGCCTTTTCCGGGGAGGCTCCGTGTGAGCCCAGGCAGCCCCCGCGGAGCTGAGCCGCTAACCCACCTACTTCAGCCGCAGCTTGCTGGAAGCAGATAAAAGCTGCCCAGGCCGTAGCGAGGGTGGGCTCATTGGAGCTGCTCCTTTGCAGGACCAAAAGAAAAGGAGCCTTAGGAAATCCCACCTGTGAGCCAAGGAGACTTACGAGCGCGGGCTGAACAGAAGCCAGAGGCTGGGTAATCGGTCCATCCGCAGGGCACAGCTCGCACACACCTCTCTAAACAGTAAGCTTTAATGCTGTGACCTTTAAGATGAAGAGAGAATTTCTGAGCCTCTATAATCGTCCAAGGGTGGCTTTGTGCTCCTGCAGGAGCAGCGAAAGGTTAGACCGGCACCTCTCCAGCAGCAGCCAGGAGGGTGCTGTCATTAACCTACTGCTATGGGTGACACTTTGTTCACTCCCCCACAAGAGTTTCTTTCCTCGGTGACAGTAAAAACAAAATACCAGCTGATATGGCTCAAGACAGCGAGAGGTGCGCACACAGCCTGAGCTTCCTGGCACATCGGTTGAAGGATGAAATCCAGTTATGGTTCGCTCCGCGCCAACACTTCCCCCTTTTGTGTGGGGCGGGAGGAGGGCTAATTTGTCCTGCTGGTTTTAAACCTGCAAATACACTGACTGGGGCGTTATTCCTGCTTTGAGCAGGGCTTTGAGAGGGTAACCCAGCTTTTCAGAGGGTTCAGTTGCCTTATTCCTGTCTCTCCTGACAATACACGAAGCCAAGTTAAGGCATCTTAGTTATCTACCTACAATTACGAGAGGTTAAGCCAGGCCTCCAGGCATAAGCTGATGCCTTGCTCCCAGGCTGGGGAGGAAACGTGCCGTAACTGCCCGCAGCAGCGTTTCTTGCCGTTCCCTCAGAGGCAGGAGATGGACCACCGAGCTACAGCACCTCCAGGACATCTAACAGCTGGAAAAAGAAAGGATGAGGTGAAGAAAATTGTTCTGCTGCTGCTGGCAAGACGAGAGCAGAGTTACGGTGCAGCAATAGCTCGTGTTGGCAAAGCGCTAGGAAATGACCCACCGTAGGTGCAGCCAAGTATTAAACTGCGCACGCTCATCCGGGTAGCGGACAGCCCGGTTACGTGAACGCACGGAGCTGCGGGACCGGGCGGGCTGCGGTGGGAATTGATTGCCAGCTGCTAGGAAGCCATTCTTTGCCATGAGACAAGTAACAGCAAGAATGGAAGGACGGCAGCTCGAGAAATGCCCGAGGAGAGAGGATGCCCACGCGTATCCTGCCTAAAGCCAACACGGCCAGCTTCATGTCTGCTTTATTTTTTCCTGCGGCTCAGTCTTGGTGTGCCCTTCTGGGGCAGAAACGCAGGAGCTGTGACTAAAGACCCATAATTTTGAGCCCTCTCAAGAGCTGAGGGAGTGGAAACCTACCCAGGGACCGAATTTAAAAGAGATGCCGCGGCGCAGAACAAAAGTCACACTCAGAATCAGAAAGCGCGTATGACAGCACAAGGCAGCTTCCACCTTCTCCTCTCCGAGGGGAAAGGAAGCCCTTGCATGGCAGCAGCTTTCACTGCTGACAGCAGCAGCATCTTTGCCAAGAGCCATGTGTTCACGCCAGCTCAGAAATCACAGCTCTTCAAAGGCCCTCACGATTTTTTCCTCCAAGTTTACGACAGATTAAAGTTATGCAGAAAAACCCTCTCCTACCTCCCCCTTCATTCAGGCCACAACCTCAGAAAGACAGAGACTGAGCTGGGAAGGGAGAAAGAGAAGGGGAGGGGAAGGCAAGAAAAGGAGAAGGGGAGGCGGAGGGAGGGCATAGGAAACAAGGAAAGCGAGTGTTTGAAAAGGTTGCCTTGTATTACTTTCAACATTACCAAGAATTGCAAAGCAGCTAAGTGTCATCAGCTGTTATAAATTTATCTCATCTTGCATCACTTTGTGTAATCTAAAGCCTAACCTGCTGGAGTCACGCAGTTCTGCAAGACTCTGGGCTCTGCAGTTTTCTGCCCGTTCTCATACTCCATCCCTTGAACAGGAAGTCCCCATTTCTACATGTTTCTGCAGAAAAGTGCTTTAAAACATGTTTTTTGCTGGTATATTGACCAGAGGAGAAATAAAAAGAGACCAGACACCTTTATGGTATCGTCATTTTCAACATCCTCTTGGGTTTATGATTTTTGCCCACCGCAGACTGGCAACACAGTGAGACCACAGATGTTTAAGACACCCCAGTGAATCTGCAGTCTCTCTCCCAAACCCCCTTTTCAGAGGAGGTTTTGCTGCCAAGACAAGGTTCAGCCCTATAAACAGAGCAAGGCTAAACGTGATGGATCTTGTCAAAAAGACCCCCGCCGAGTGCCATCTGCAAGCAGTGAACCAGCAAGAAAAAGGAAGGGAGAAAAGACTGAAGCCATTTGAAATCCTCCTAGGAAAGGCACCGACTCGTTCGGCTCCGTCCCCTGGCAGAGGGTGCCGGCGAGGCGAGCAGGGACGGACGGGACCTTACCTGGGACGTTATGGATCGTTATAGCGAGGATCATCAGCATGATCCGCCTCCAGCTGCTGCTGCCGGGCGTTGGGGCGCTGCCTCTGGGGGCTGGGAAGGCCGGGGGGCCGTCCGGCACGCTGGCCCCCGCTCCTCTCCTCCTCTGGTAAGGCTCCCCGTTTTCGCCTTTGTCTGAGGGTACAGGAAAACAGAGCTCGGTCAGTTGAGGGGGCGACGGGTGGACTGCTGGACACCTCCTGCCCCCCTGCCAGAAAGAAAAAAGAAAAGAGAAGGAAAAATCGATCACGGCAGCGCTGGGAGAGGGCCGAACGTGTGCCACTGTCCCTCCTCCCCTTCGGTTCTGTTTTGGCTCCGGTCTCCCCCATGCAGGCTGCAAAGTCGACTGCCATGAGCCTGGAAGACCTTGAGATGAGGCAGAATTCATCCTCTGCCTCTCTCCTCCTTGAGCTCGTTCCCTGCCCAACAGCTCCCCCAGCATCGCCCTCTGGGCTCCCGCCGCTCTCAATGAGCCCTGGCAAACTCATGACACATGCTGCAAGGTCAGAGGCTGGTGGCTGATGAAGAAAGGCCTGCAAACCAGCAGCCTACAGCTGTAGAAAGCTGGGGCACGCGGGGAATCCCCTCGAGACCAGCCAACCCCCTAACCACCCCCCGGAAGTCTGCATTTTCATTTCCTTCGCTGATGAAGAAAAACCCCATAATACCTCATTTGGATTTCACCACAGTCATGAAACAAGCTAGTGCTCTGAACCGTACTCAGCGACTGTTTCTACCCCTTCTAACAGATGCCCCACTGCCACTTGTTAACACGGCACCGGACAGCCAAGGCCTTTCAAACTCTCCCAGATCTACGTTCCCTGCAGGAGAACTGCTATCAGCTCTACTTCAACCAGCGATTTAAAACCATGCCACTAAAACCCAAGCACCAATTAGGGCTATGAAAGGGTGGAACGAGCGACAGCCGGCACCGTAATAAAGTCTACTCAACACGAGGCCCTCGCTGCTCACCTTTAGTTTGAAAAGGTGAAGGGAAGCCAAGAAACGAGGAGCTCAGAAATCCCTCACCCTCACGCAGCAACAGCCACGGCTTTGTGCGAGAGACGACGTGACATTTAGCCAATCTAATTCTCTTCCTGGATTTATACAATTCTCTCTCCCTGATCGCTCCCCTCCTGTCCCTTGACCCACCCACCCCAAGATTTTCGTTGCAGGCAAGTAAGCGTAAGGAGTCATCTGAAAGCGTTTTGGTTGAATGCCAACTGCTTCCCGTGCCATTTCGAGGCAGGATAACGCTCCACTGTCATGTTGCGCTTTGCAGAGCGGGCATTTGCAGCGGCAGTTAAGAAGCTCAGCATAAAAGTGCTCATGCAAATTGACACAGGAGGTCACCTCGGGAGAGCAGGGGTGTCACTTACAATTCACGGCTCGCCATCTGTAACGCAAAAACGGACGCTTAAAAGCATTCCTAAAGGGTCGCCAGCAACACACAGAAAATAAAACGCCAAATTTCAATCAACAAAGAACTTAACACATTTTATTAATGGGAAAGCAAGGCGAAGACTGCGGCGTGACCAGCTGGTTCTCCGGCAGGTCACAACGGGCTCCCTCCTGCCACCTCCCCTCTTACCGAAGCATCCCCGCCCGGGGTGGCCAGGGCTGCGCACTCATATGCCTGCGATTGCTTGCACTTCTCCTTAAAACACCAACACGGGCTGCCACTTTGTAAACAAAGCAAGATGCCGCGCAGATAAACATTATCCTTGTCATTCCAATCTATAACGTGCAGTAACACGTTCGATGGCAGAGCTTCAGGCCAGGCTGCAAGGACAAAGCTAAAAAATTTGTTCAACAAGAGCGAGGAAAGCCAACAAGCGTTACAGATCCGCCAGAGCGGCCCTCGCATTTCCTGCAGCATCGCTAGGAGCTGGTTAGAAGGAAACAAGGAAGCCACCCCAAAGGGCCCGTCTTGTCCTGCCAGGCTGCTGGATCGGTTTGATAGCGTGGCACGTGCCCCCTTGGCCCCAGCGGTGTCCTCGGCGGGTCTTGCCCCGGCCACCCGCGCTGGCCCGGGAGCCATCTCCG